TTTTTTCTTTCCTGTTTTCTTTTTTTCTTTCCTTCTTTTTTCTTCTTTTTCTTGTTAATCTCTTATTTTGCTTAATTTATCAAATAAACTTTATCACTGGCATATATGTCTAGTTCCCCCCCCCCAAAAAAAAAAACAAACTATATGTCAGGTTTGTGATTTCAGGCATTTACTGGGCAGGGAGAACATAGATTATATCCCCATTAAATAAGTGTTGGAACTACTGTACACAAATAATACTGTTTGTTTTTTTTTTGTTTTTTTTTATCCAACTCCCCCTTTCCACCCACACTTTTTGTTAAGGCAAATATTTGATCTGGTTCAAGGGTTGATTGATCCCTTTGTTCATTCATAATAATCCCAAATTACAAACAATTACTTGTACTAATCGCTGCTTTCATTTGAATCTCTAGCCTTGGTACATGTAATCCTCCTTTCTTGAACTCCTACAACACAGAAAGAGAGGGCAGATGCTTATAAATTTTTGTTTTATATTTTGTCAATCAACTTAATTTTTTTCTGCTTGTTTACACACACACATACATATTTATTCTAAATAAGGTTTTCACTGTCACTTTATTTAAAAATAAAGTGAAAGTGAAACCTTATTTAGAATAAATGATTTTGAATTCTTTGTCATTTATTTTTAGGATTTAGTTATTTTTTTTTTTATCAACTCTTATTAGTTTTTGTTGTCTTTGATTATACAGACAATGATTCTATACATCCCTTTTATCCAATTTTAAAAAAAGTCATTTTGACTTTACTTTAGTTTGTATTTTCAAAACCAATAAAACCATGAAAACATCTTTCTGGGGACAGCGGAAGTCGAATTAAGAATTTGAATATTGTGAAATTAACTTTATCCACATTTTCCCCATGAGCATTTAAAATATTTTATTACTTTATTTAAAATAGTTATTTTATTTAATTAAACCTGTAGCTTTTATCACTCCCCCCACCCAATCCTCACATTCATAATTTGTTGTTTGTCTGTTCAAATAAGCATAAAATTATTTTTTTTTTTTATTTCATAATTGTTATATAAAAGATCTATACCTCACCACAATGCCAAGGAAATGTTGGATGGCCACCGTGGTCTTTAATTAAACTTATATATATATATATATATATATATATATATATATATATATATATATGCTTATGTTGTCAAACTCTTCAGGTAGTGTTAAGTTCAAGGTTATTTTAGAAGATATTGACATAATTAACGGGTCAAGAGAGACTTTGGGAGATTATTAGATTAATCAAAGTTATAGTGTCCATTTTATCAGGTAAAGTTTAAATGTAGACCCAAATATCTTGAATTGAAATTTTTAAACTCTCAAGTCCAGAGTCAACTGATTTTTGTCCTACATGGCCTCATAATATGCATTTCTTAGTTCTTCCTCCCCCCACCCCCTCTCTTACAACAATTTCATTTGTATTGGGTCAGTTAACTGTATGGGGAAAAAAAAGAGGGTTTCTTTTTGGAATTGTATAGATTCTTAAGGGAAAATTATCATGAAGATACTTGTTAATGATAATTTAACAAACCCGAGAAATACTAAACTTCCAATTCAAAAGTGATTCAAAACAATTCTTAGATGCTCTTGAAGGCCATAAAAGCAATGATTGTTCTGGATGTTTTGCTGATAATATATCCCAGGTATAACTGATTTAATGTTAAGACTTTATATTCAAAATCAAACTCTAAAGAACTGATAGAATGAAATTTAAGCTTAAAAATAACTGCTGGTTATTACAATGATATTGACCTACAATGTATTTTAAATTTACATAATAAAACACTAAAGCTTTTAAATATTCATGAGTTAAAGAAAATTGTCACTTGTAATTAATGTTAGGAATGAAAGAAGTGTTTGTATGATTATGACATTATCTCAGCTAAAAATATAATTGGATGTATTTTGGAGAGTAATAGATATTTCGACTGGACATTCTGGGGTGGGAGGGTATCACCTTATAGATGATCATCAGTGTAATTAAGCAAAGGCAATTAGAATGATATATTGGTTACTTAATGGCTTTTGATGAAGATTATATCAGCTAGCAATAAAATTGTTTGGAAATAGGAATATTTCATGTCATTCTGAAAGATTCCTCTTTCTGTAAATAGTTTGGAATTGGTTCTGATCACTGATGTCTGCTTATAAAATCTGGTTCTTTTTCTTTTGTGTTTAGAACATGAATAGATCAATAGGAAAAATTTAGAGACCACCTATGAAAATAATCTGGTATAGTGATGCTTTTTGAAAGTAGAAAAATATTGAGAGGTCAAAAGCTTTCATCTATAGCCATATTCATTTAAAGGATTTTTTTTTTTCAGTTGTTAGCTAAAGCAACAGGAATCATTAAATTTTATGCTTGAGTGTTTGAGATTTTACAATTGCTTACAGAATAACTTTTCTTATTCTAATATTGGATCAAATTTTACTTCTGAAAGATTTTTTTAATTTGGAATTGGAAACCTTTTGACCATAATTCTGCTGCTCTATCCACTGAGCCATCCCCTTTCATTACAGGTCTTTGTATTTATATAAACAATCTCCTGCCATTTTGATCTTGATTGTATTTAGTTGTATTTACCCCATTTCTATTTCTGCAGTTGGTTTGAGAAATGAAGCATTTGTCTTGGAATGGTTTCATCAATTTACACATTTCTTTTAGAATTATTATTTCCTTGTCTTTTATTAACAATTATTTCCAGCACTTGGACTAATATGGTTGCTCTAATGGCTCCTGTATAAATTAAATGCTACACACATGTTGCCTTGTGTCAGACTTGGTTTAATCAAAGCTAATCCTGGACATGGTTGGCTTTCATATGGTTCTTGAAATTGGAAGAACTTTTTTTTCTCAAGGAAAATATTTAGAATATTTTCTTGCTCTACTGCCATGTTTCCCAACTTGATATGCTAGCACCTCTGAGGTTAATCAAATTCCTTTTGTCATCAAAGGAATTTGGGACTAACCAAAGATTGTGAAACACTGTTACCATGAATATTACTCTAATTCACCAAACATCTTTTTTTGTTAGTCTATTACTGCACAACTCAAAGATGGCTGGAACTATTGCCACAAAACTTTCTGTGATTAGCCATGGGATTCAAGAGTTTGCTTAGTGGATTCGTTTTTTTGGCCTACAGTATAAGTGCCGTGCTAAACTGGACCATTACTTTGTATCTGTCAGATTAAACTGAAACTTTATCTGTTTGCTTAAGGTATGTGATCTAAGAGTTAATGATGATGATAATATTCAAATAAGATTTGATTCAATAAAGACAGAGTTAAAATTCATGATTTCTTATTGTGGCAAAAGCTTCCATTTTGATCTTTTATAGAAACAAGCTTAAAATTATCTCAAGAGTATGGATTTTCAGTTCATATGCAATAAATGAAAATACAGCATAAATTGTGGAGTTGTTCACACAAAAGCCTAGAAATTCTCTGATGTCTTAATAACTCATTCTACCAATTTTCTTGCTTTACTCTGAAAAAAAAAAATTCATTGCATAACTTTATTAATAAATAATGAATTGAGTCTGTAAATGGCTCTCATTGTACTGAAAACATGGCAGTGTTGAAATTAGTACCACTAATTGCGCACAATGAGTTTTGTTTGAATTAACTAATTTGTTTGATTAACTAATTTTCTTTTCTTTTCTTTTTTTCTTATTTTTTCTGGATATTAATGGATTTATTTTTAATCTGGTATTTTTATTACATCAAACATTATTTTTATTGGATACTAGTGTTTGAATAGATGCTCTGTTTTTTTTAACAATGTTTATTACGTCTTGTGGTCTGCACACTTGAGAAAGCTTAATCAGACAGTGGTTTCTCCTACAAAGGGAGACGCAGGTCTGCACATTTTCTTGACTGTGCAGGCCGGTAGGCATAATATATACTGTTTAAAAACTGGGCATCAATACAAACAGGAATCCACTAAAAATAATGTCTGATGTAATAAAAAGGGGAAAAAAACAAACAAAAACAAAAAAAAACAAACTAAAACTATCTTTTTAAACAATTGCCAGCATTTCTTTTATCAGAGAGAAAATATATAATAGAAGTTTAATTCCAAAATTAATCACAGATTATCTCATAATAATATTTTTATGAATAGGATCTGGTAAGATTATTTTTCACCTAGAGGTTCTTTCAAATCACAAAGATGTTTTGTTTTTTTTATTCTTAAGTAAGTAATCCAAGTGTTAGTGTTTGTTCAATTGAAAACTTAAGTTAAAAAAAAAAAAAATTTGACCAGTTTAAACGGGTAAGAGTTTTGTAATATGAGACTTCAAATACAAAATTAGCACTGCAAAGATTTTTCAATATTTTATGAAAAGCCTGGTCTTTTGGCATTGTTTCATTTTTCTGATTGTTATGTTTGTAGAGGGGGAGAGGAATAGGTAAGTGGAAAGTTTTTAAAAATGTAAAGAAAATGAATTTTCAAAACTAGAAGGAAAGGAATAATTTCCTTTTATTCTTAATATAACAAAAATAATTATTGAGGTAATGATTATTTTCATAAAGAAACTCTTCAGGGGTGAAACTTGATAACATTGTCTCATCAAGAGATGTTGTAAACATCAGAGAACTGGTCAATTTTTCAATTGGGTTAAAATTTACTTGTAACTTGAGATATATATAATCATTTTGAGGGAGATTCTAATTTTTCTGTATTCTCAGCTGCAAAAATAATTTATTCTTTGTTTTTTGTTTTTTTTGGGTTTTTTTTTTTTTGTTTTTTTGTTTTTTTTTTTTTTTGTTTTATTAATTCCAGTTAGATTTTAAATCATTTTAATGTATGACTTAAATGACAAAGCTGTGGATTGTAAAAAAAAATTTTTTAATTTCTTTTAAATTTGTATTAACCAGTTGCACCCACCTCATTTATACCCATTTTATTCCCTTCAAGTGGGTCTGATTTGAATTTTGTTCTTATGTACTCATTTCTATACCTACCTCCCCTGCAGACATTCTTCCGAAATGGGATCTGATCAGTGAGTATGGCATCTGCATATTCTGTTGCTTTGTATCAGTTTTGGGATGACTTGCAGATCCTTCCCTGCTTGTCATGGCTACCTTTCTTTTCTGTTTTTGTTTTTTTTTCTCCTCTCTTTCTCTCTCTTTTCCCCTTTAAATTTCACTCTCTTGTCAGAATCAAATACTTCAAATGATGCAATGTTGTTTGGCTTTCGTTCTTAAAGAAACACCATTACACTGCCTTGCTTTTCAAAATAAATCCACTCCCGAATTATCTAAAGTCTCCAAGTAATAAGAAGCCTGTGTTATTCTGCAAATATTTTTTGTTACATTCTAGATTTTTACATGTTACTTAAAACTTTGGAGTTTTACAAAAGAAGATTTTATTAAATCTGCTAGAGTAGTTTTGTCAAGTTTCTGTCTAGAATAGAACTTTTGAAAATATTTTTTGCATTGCCAGATGAAAAAGGAAAAAAATGTCTATACCACATAATTTACATTTCCTATGAATTTTTTTTCTTTCCATTTAAGTGACGTAGCTTGCACAAAAGAAATATTAACCAATCCTTTACCATCTTTGAAATTGATAATTTTAACTTATGATTAATATTAAAACTATTGAGTTAGTAAATATAATTTTTTTTTTTTTTTTGTATCTTAAGTAATTTTGTATCATTTTGTTGCAGCTTTTAAATACTAAAATTTTAATAAGTTTTGGTTTTTTCTTTCTCAACTTAAACTAGTTTGTGAATATGATAATTAAGTTTGAGATTTTAAGACTTCATTTTGAAAATCTGGTACTATGAGATTGTAGTCTGATACTAAAATACTGTACACTTAATATTTTTTGTGTATTTAGATTTACATCAAAGGGGTTCATTAAAAAAAAAAAAAAAAAAAAAAAAATCTTTTTTTTTTTTTTTTTTTAGAGTTTTAGCTTTGAAATGTTGATCTCCATTTTAAGATATTGAATGCCCTGATATTTTGTGTTCAATATTGTCTTAATAGTGTATTGATGTTGCTTTATAAAAATGACAACTGCACTTTGTTTTTATTGTTTTAATGTATCAGTGCCATTTTGTGAGGGATCTTTGAAAGTATTTATCGTTCTCAATCTGTCAGCTTTTATCTAAAGTTTTAAAAGCACATTTTATTTTGGATGAAGTAATTTACCACTCTCTTTCATGTGAGGTTATTCTTCAAAATAAAATTACTTTTGATTGGATGACAGCATGTTTACTAAGCACCTACTTTGAATTCTGTTAAACCAAAGATTCAGTTTTTGATAATCATTTTTTTAACAAGTGCAATAATATGATATTGAATAAATTAGTTTATATCCTACAGCTAGCAGTCCAATGCTTATTTCTCTAAGCGAGCACCAGCAACAACTTCTATTACTACATTAAATTTCCGGAAGCTTTGAACAACTTTTTTTGCTCATTGTTAGCTCATAAAAATTACTTTAAATTTTTCTTTCTGTTTTTTAACTCTTTATCTATAAAGGAATGTATTATTAATTCTATTTCTTGATAGAATGTTTTGCATCTTCAGTTGATAAATTAATAGAAAAGGAATTCATACTTGGTACTACATGATCTTTTTAGTTGTTCTAGTTCCTGTTACTTTTTGAAAATGTCATTTGCTAAGGAATCACATTGTTCTATGCAATCGTGCACTCAGAAGCTTTTGTGTCACATCCCTCTAGTCACCACACCTCGTATTTCTGCTCACAGGCATATTTTTCACATAATCACTCTCATAGTAAATTTTATTTTTTATTTTTTATGATCCTTGTATCAAGCATTTTACTTGTTTTGTAATTCCTGGTGGCAATCATTAAATAAATCTAGAAGATCTTCAATTAGTGGAAATGCTTTACCAGAGCTTATATGAAAATATTACTAGGATTGAGCAATAAATTTTCTTTTTTTTTAATTTGTTTAATACACAAAAACTGATTTTAAGTCTCCCTTTATAAAATAAAACTTTTGCACACACCTTTTTGTTGTCCAAAATAAGATTTGCTTCAAATGCATAGAATAATACAAGAAAATAAACTAACAGCAAAATGATTTGAACCTGTAATCAGGTCAGGTTTTCTGATATAGCTCATCTTGTATGCAAATGATGTTTTTATCAATTGAGCCACTGACCGGAGAACTTCTTTTCAATGTTTATAAAACCTAATTGCTTAACCTTTTCCTAATGTCAAAGTTCATTTAAGAAATGGAATAAATTAAGAAAGTGTCAACTATGGCATATTATAGTATAGAAATACGCTCTGGTGTCAAAAAATTTTTTATTGAAAGTAAAATCTCTTGTTGAGGTTTGTTCTGATTTGTATTCAGAATAAATGATTGTAAATGTTTGAACCTTGGCTGAAGTTGGTTTTTTGCCTTGCGTTATTCTTGACAAGTTTTGTTCAGTTTAACATGTTCAAACTGGTTCAAAACTGCTGGCCCACATTTTAGTTTTAGTTTTATTGTTGACAGCCATTGAATTTTAACATTTTGTGTCTTTGCTGATTAGTCATAAAATATTTTATAGCAAATTCCTGGTGAATTTTGTGTAGTGTGGCAAATTGTTAAATTCTATAAAGATAATCTATTCCTCTTATTATACACAAATTATTTGGCCTAAAGATATTATTTATTTTCAGTGCAAAAGTAAATGTTTGGCCTATGTGTAATGGGATAGAAAATAAGCAATTTCTGAGATTTTGTTCTTGTTTGAATAAGAATTAAGTGTTCTAAACCATGAATCTAAATAGGATTAACAGGTAATAATTCCTTTTATTAAAAAGAAAAGAAAATTAATATTGTAATTGAAGAATACCTCACAGAAACAGTTAAATGGAATAAAAACAAGATATAGCACAATTTATAGTCAGCTTAGAAACTAAATATAAATTTTTTTTTTTTTGTCTTTTAGATTAAAAAAAAAAATTTGAATAAGGTCAGAGACTGTCAGAAAAAAATCTTTATCACATGACCCTGAATATAAGTAAGTCAACTAAATTGACCAATCAAATTTAATTCTGGAAATTTACACTTAAAATGTAATGGAATCCATTTTGTCATGAGATTGAAATTTGCTTAGATTTTGTGCAAGTGTCCAGTAATCTTATTCTCTATAAAAAAAACAAATTTTCAATTAGGATTTTTTTGTTTGGATGTCAATGTTTGTTATTTGGTATCATGAATATTTTTATAATTAATTTACTAAATATAAATTTATTTTTTTCCATTTGAATGTTTCTACCAACAAATCTAACATTGCTTTAACTGTTTAAAAATCAGTTTTATATTTTATTTCCTCATTGTAAATATTAACATTCTATGTGGATTTTCTGGGGAAAAATTTTTGAGGCCTTTTTTTCTTCTTTTTTTTCTTAAAAAGATAATTTCTTACTAAAAATTAAGTTCTGAAAAAAAAAAATAATATTGACTATGCAAGCAAATATCACAAAATAAGAATTGCTTGTTCTTCTCAAAGATCTGAATACAAATTACAATTTTTATTAATTGTACCTGGTTATTAGATTTTCCGTATTATCTCCAGAATATAGATGGTAATTAAATATAGATGTGAGCTTTTCAAGTAACACTAAGTCTGGCTATAGGCAGTGATGAGTCTTTATCTTCTTGATTTGTCTGTTATGAAACTTTTCTTTCTTTCTTTCTTTTTTTTTTTTTCTTACTCCCCAAAATTTTCATTGGTATCCTTTGATTTATTTTATACTGGTTATGATTTCTTTAAGCAGAGACTTTAAAATAGCATTTATAGTAATAACAGAGTGGCTTCCACTTCTTGCCATAATATTGGTGGGTGTGTCCAGAATTAACAAATGATTTTCTGTTTTCTCCTATTTTGAGAGGTTTTTTTTTTTTTGTTGTTGTTGTTGTTTTTAAGAAGCATTCATTGACTTAAGAGGTTCATTGAAACTATTTGCGGCCAAACCTCATCACCGAGCAACACTTAAATGCTTCGGTCTAAAAGACAACATAGGTATTGGTAGCTGCTTAAAACCTGAGAATAATATCCTCATTTGACAATCTGATAGACCATTTTAGTTGAGTTCTGAAAACCTTCCCATAATCAAATTCTCTGCAGATACTTTACTCTTTCTACTGGCCAAACAATTTGAAATTCATATTTTATCATCCCATTTTTCTTTCTTGATCAAGTGAGCCTTGTTCCCCTTTAAGATGCTGTATAGAACCTAACTAAAATGTGTTAAGATGGTTCTTCTTGGGTCATATGTCCCTCCAGTCTCAATAAAACTTGATCTTTTCTATATATTTTCCTCTTTTCTGGCTTAGGCCAAGTCGAAGTCTTTTACAACTTTATGTCCCAGCCTTAATTCACTCCTTACCCTTAATTGTGTGTGTGTGGTGGTTAGTTTGCCTGCTGTTGAAGTTACTGTTGAGTTTTAGTTGCTTTTGGTTTTCCTTTCTGCAAAAGAGATCACTGGTGCCATGGCTTAAGAACACAAAACACTTTAACTAGTTCTTTTCTTTCTGAGCAAATATTTTTTTATGTGTATGTTCATTTTCCTCCCCATTGAGGGTGTTTGCATATAAGTATTGATTTAAGTTCTAAAAATATGTATGATGCTGCACAGTTCTTGGGTTAATCTAGAAAGGATAAAAAAAAACAAAAAAAAAAACTGATGTTTGTTCATTTAGTCAGATTTTAGGAAGTGGGTCAAACCAAAAACTTTTCAGAACTCCCTCTTGTATGAATATTTAGTTTTCTTTTTACTATCTTTTCATCTATAAAAACCAATGTGTGTCATTTGAATCTATTCTGGGTGTGAAAGCTGAAATAATAATCATATCAGCTTTAAGTATTTGCAATTTAAAGAAAAAAGTAGTTTAAGCTTTGTCACCATGCTGGTCAAGAATAAAAATCCCAGCTGGAAAAGTACTTTCAAAGATTTTAAAATTGGAATTTTACTTGTGCATAGAACTTGTTCTATGTTCAATTGCATAATATCAATAATGGCTCCTTTCTGGAAAAGGACTGCTTATTGTTCTTTTTGGGAATATTTAAAAAGAAAAAAAAAATGCATTGAATGTTTTTGTTATAAAATAACAACATTCTGACTCTTATCTTTTAAAAGTAAAGTAAGATTACTTCTGTTCATATAATACATTGACTGCCTCTGACTTTAAACACCAATTTTTAGCCAATAAAAATGATTTAATCAGTTGATTTATAGCTTCAACTGAAATCTTAACATTTAAGACTTTTGTGCTGCTTGGAAAGACAAACCAATTGTTTTAAAAATCATTGTTCAAGTACTTATTTGGGACACTTGTTTCTTTTGAAATGCTTTATGTTAAATTTTCAAAACTTTTTCCCATAAAAAGTTTTTTAGTTGCAAGTATGAGTTTTCATTCCTGTCTTAGAAGCCAGGTATCAGTTATTTGTGTTAAAAACAACAAAATTTGTGGTTGTAGCCTTGATGGTACAAACATAAGATAACTCAGTCAGCATCATGAGAAAAACTGCCAACTCTATTACCCTGTGGTTGGCAGTCAATGTGTTAATCCAAATCGTTTGCTTAGATCAGAAGTATTATTATCTCTAAACCAATCAACATGATCCTTATATTTGTTTTTTTTTTTGTTTTTTATTTCTTGTCTATTTGGCTTTGTTAATTACAAAAAAGTTCCTTTGAATTGTGCTCTGGTTTTGCTTGCAGCTACTGTGGTGAAGTTTGGTTATTTGTATTTTATTTTTTTTTATTCATGCCTTTTCCTCTCAATTGCAAAGCATGTTTGTGGTGTTGGATTGAATTTTTAAAAGGATTTCTTTATTTCTATTTATGTTCTTTTCTGTAGCATGTTGCAGAAATTCATTTTGGGAAATATTAAACAGGTACACAGACACAAACTGGATTACGGTTAGAAAATGTCAATCAAAAAATTTTCTTTCAACCATCATTTAAATATTGGATTTCGTTCGGTTTGAAGGAATATCAAACAGACCATACTTGATACAATAGTAAGAATTAAGTTTAAAAGCTGATGTATCTGTTTTTATTGAGGCAGACTTTTTGTCTGTTTTATTGTCAAATTATTTGATTACTACTTTTCTTATGTTGCTAAAACTTTCAACTTTTTAAAATTTATTGATATTTGTTTTCCAAAGTTGTTGGAATGCTTTAGAAAACTATTCTAGAAAAAAAAAACTTTTTTAATCAGTGGTTTTCAACCTTTTTTGCCCAATGCACCTTTTCACTTTTCAGATTGCCCAACTCAAAAAGGTGCATTCCAAATATGCATATATAATTGAAAAATCTTCATTCTTTTCTATATTAGTACATATACATGAACATTAATTCATAATTAATTACTAGATAAACTGAAGCATACTTCAATTAACAAGTTCAATAGATATTTTAATTTAATAAATCAAATTCTGAAATAAAAACAAACGTAACGGATTACCTCCCTTGAAAGTCTCCCCTTGTTGGGTTGATAACCAGTTTTAAATTTTTATATCTCTATCAAATATTATACTTAATTTCTGAATTATCATCTCCCGTAACAACTATTCATTAGTTCAGTATTTAGACGGTGGTTGACGTTGCTGAGACTATAGTAACTAACATCTTTGCCTCTCTCAAGATTAATTTATAGGAATTTTAATTTTAGTATTAAGTAACACCACAGAGATCAATTAAGGATTCTTTGTCATGCTAATCAACTTACTAGGAATTATTGTTTCTTGATGTAAAGATTTGTGTTGCTATTTAAAAAGTGGATAACCACTTTTTCATTGACAATGAATGTGGGGAGGATGTTCGTTCTGTAGGAATCTCCACAAACATTGGACTTTAAGTTTTTAATCAAAAAAATCTTATTTGTTTTATTATTTCTTCACATAAACCCATCTTTCAAAAGAAAGTATATTTATTTGGAGGCTTAATAATAAAAAGAAATCCATCAATTAAGCTTTACCTTAAGAAGCTAAGGGAAATTGCATTTTAACTTTGTGAAAGTTAATAAAACGGCTAATCATTTTTTTTTTTTTTTTGCGAGATGCCTCATGTTTGTCTCTGTAAAGCTTTGAGTCCTTTCTGTTTGTCCAGTCTTTGCTGAATGTACTTATTAGAACTATTTAACAAATAACAGGACAAGATTTCGTATTTGTTTTGTTTAAACAGAAACACAGATCTTTAATGTGAAGTTGTTGATTATAAATTGTTCCGTGTAACTTTTCAAAAATTAGTTTGATTTTTCAACTTGCAAATTTAACGTTTCTTTCAAGGGAGGTAATTTTGTAGCGCACTTGATAAAATATTGTAATGAGCAACTTTGACTTATATTTTCCGGTTTCTTTATTAAAATACTGACTTTTTTAAAATAGTATTTACATGAAGACTTAGGGTAAAAATTTAATTTCTTTAGATTAGATGATTTTTACAGTTAGGAAAATATTTTCTGAAACTTAAAATTTTCAGTACAAAATTTCCTTAAATGGTAATTGGAGGTTTGCTTGACTATTTTGGGAAGTTACATTTGGATACAATGCTTATTTATTTCTCTATATCTATTGTTGATGCAAGGATATAATTCAGATTGTGTAATTTAGTCTTGTTCCATTTCTCTATCCCTGATTTTTAAACATCATGCATCATATTTTTTTTTTTGTTTACAGAGCTCAGGAAGAAGCAAGTAATAAAGAACGTGATGAAACAATTGCTGGTCAGGAGTGGGAGAAGATTTGCCGTCTGTGTGACTTCAATCCTAAGCATTCCAAAAATACAAAGGATGTATCCCGCATGCGTTCAATACTGCTACAACTCAAACAGACTCCATTGGTACGTTGACCACTGGGCCAATTGTATTGAATAACAAGTCTAATATACTGATAAATCAGAATATGAAAGATTGGGCAATCTTTGTTGAACAGTGTTAATTCTTTGTCCATTCTGGACATCATTGTAAAAATGTGAGCTAGATGTCAATTATTCATTCTTTTGATCCACTTCTGTGAAATTCATAGACTGTTCATTAAATTGTAGAAAGATATCAATAAAGGGAAAATAAATAAATATTTGTGTTCAGATTTCTTGGTGAAAATTTAATTACTTGCCCTCAATGACATAAAAAAAAAAAAAAAAAAAGATATATGTCACAACTGTTACATGAAAAACGACAGAAAAAACACCATGAAACAAGAAAATTGTAAACAAGATTTGTATTCATACATTATTTTATTTTGTTTAACATCTTGTAAGTTGAAATTCTACAATATGAACAATTGCCATACATAAATGAGACATTCAACAATTGGTAATGGATGTTGACGGGGAAGGAAAGGCGAGCAGAAGTTTTGAGTTCTTGTCTCTTAACAAGAAAACGGACAAGCTACTGAATATTAATAGCCAGGCATTTCAATCTGCACGTTTACATGGAAGGAAAAATAGTTACGGCCCCTTAATAAGTACGTTGGCTCTGCTGAAGAATGCAGACGAGAAGGCAGTTACTTTTTAGTAACATTTTAGTTATATATATATATATATATTTTTTTTTTACTTAGTTAATCAGTCTGTAAAATTGTTAGTCCTCAACACATGCATGTAAGGAGGGGAGGGGTCTAAATCAGGACTCTATAACTAGTTTACTAATATTTTTAAGATGGAAATCTTAAATCCTTCAAGGGAGATAATAAGCGAACTTCATCAAACTACACTTCTTTTGGCGGGTGGGGGTACGATATATCTTGGTCGTAACTTTAATATTTAACTTATCCAAAAGAAACGAAGTTTAACTCTACAGATATATTAGTATTTAGATAAAATATGGTAGGACTTTGAACACAAAGGATTTATGGATGACAAATACTTTTTATTAAACTATTTTGCAAATATTTCAAAGGAGCAAAGTATAACCAAAAGATACTATCTTTAAAAAAGAAGTAATTATCAGAAAGTTTAATAAAATTATCTGACATTTAATTGAGCTCTCACCATCTAATTAACAGAAAATGTTCTAAATTGCATTAAAATTTTAGTTGTTTTAAAAATGAGTTATCAATTTCCTGGTGAAAATTTTTTACAAATAAATTGACTCTTATGTGGATATTTTAGAGGACCGGTTTGACTCAGATATCAAAGCTCTACCGTATTGAATAGCTTCCCCCCCCCCTTATTTGGAGAGAGATGCATTTCACAAAGGTTTGAGATTATTTAAATGAAAAAAAGTAATTGAGGAATTATTTTCTATTATTAAGCCAGAAATTAATTTTGTTTTTTCTGCAAATAGTTTCACCAATTTTATCAACTAATTTTAAGCTCTAAAGTTACAAAGCAACTATTAATTAGCAAAAAAATACATTTTTGCCTTTTTGATAGCTAAGATAATTTATTGATGTAAGTTTGTTTTTTCATTATAGCCTTTCTGAAAATGCTGATTAAGTGAAACAAATATCAAGTTAATTCATGACAGTTAACGTCAAAACTTGGGTTAATTTAGTACATTTGTCCATTGAAGTAAAAAGAGAAACAAAAAATGTACTTGATTGAATATATCAGTATTTTTTGATGAGTAATTTTATTTTATTTTAATATTTGATAAAATATGGTTTAGTGTAATATTATCTTTATTGACCCATATTCTCTTGGCACCAATTTAAACTGATACTCAATATCCCCCCTCCATATAATCTAAATTAAGATTTATAAACTAATTCTGAACTTGAGAAAATTTTATAAGCAAAATAGTCACAATAGATATTAATAAAAAAACAAAGGGATCAGTTTAAACTGACATCAGGAGGATATGGATTTGGAATGGTTTGCTTCCTTTTGCATATTTTCTTTATCTTGGAAAAAACAGCTACATCTTTTAATCATTGTATACAATTTATATATAATCTCTAATGTACAGCAGTTATAAAGTAATATATATTTAAAAAAAATGGTTAGATTTACATATCCTCTCCACCCATTTTTTTCCATCATCCACAGAGCATTTTGGCATGAGTTTAATCATGCATATTGATTGTCTATGTAGAATTTCATTGTTATTTTTCTGAGAGCTGTATGTTTATGAAAAAAAAAAACAAATTTCAGAACCAAATTTCCTAAAATGAATGGTTTATTAGAATTGAAACAAAATCACAAAACATTTTTGGAAAATTTTCTTAGACTCATTTTCTGACCTACTGGAATCACTGAAAGTAAATTTTTTTTTTTTTTTTCAAAAGTATAGTTTGGGCAAGTATGACATTGACTTTTTACACCAAATGAATAGTGAATACAGACTGGCCCTAAATAAAATATGAATTTAAAACTAAACTGTATGCACGCAACAATAAACATGGACGTACCTGAACTCTAGGTTCTTTATTTTAATTGGTTAGTTTTATTGGAAGGGTATATGTCTATCAATATGTCCGACTTGGAAATGATATCTGAATTTTATTAAAATAACAACTGATAAATAAAATGGTTCTATTTTTAAGTACCAATAATATTGTTAAGTTAAGGATGGAGTGATGTGCAGCAGCTTGAAGTGGAAAGAAAAATGCTTTGCTTTTTTTTTTATTTTAGAGTTCAGTACCTTTTTTTTTTATTTTTTTATTTTTTTTTTTTACACATATATGTTATAAGGATATTTGATAGTGAAACATTATGTTTAAGACATGCAAAATAAAATAAAAGTGCAAGAAATAATCAAATGTTTTACTACAAAGAGAATCTGTTCTGATTTTTCTTTTTGTTATCAATTAACATTATCTCTTTGCAGTCATTCAATGTATTGACAATAAAATATTTGGAAACAGAAAACAAAAATAAATTTGTTAAAGATAAATAAAAAGTGACATGTAAAGTTTGATTTACTGAGAGAATGTCAGTTTCAAAGATAAATTTTTTTATTTTTTTTGTAAGGACCTCTTGAAACATAAGGGCACTAATATCATTAACCTTTTAGATCACCAATAATGTTCCATGACAAGAAAAAAAAAAAAATACAGTTCACATGCTAACGTAGGAAAAAAAAGCTAAAAACATATTTTATGAATACAAACAAAAAAGATCAGGGTTATTCATATGATTTAGGGCAGAGGTTCTCAACTGGGTTCATGTAACAATACCGGGGGTCCCCACAAAAAAAAAATAGCAAATTGGGGGTCCATGGTAATATTTCAGTGGTCCACAGAGCAATTTCACTTTGGAACAATTGTTACAACTGAGATCTGGAATTTCTACAGTAATCTATGCCATATTAAAAACAAAAACAATTCTAAAACTAGCAGAAAACAAAATCAATGTAAGTTGGTACCTTTTATACTTTATGTTTTGATTGTAAAAGTTGAATAAAAATGAGGATATGTAAAGGAAAATGATATAGAGATTATAATTTATATAATATTAATTTTAAATATTAATAAAATATGAATATATAAAATAAAATTATATATAATCCTTATATAATTTATATATTATATTAAAGGAAGCATATACAATTATTTCTATAACACAATTCCTAAACTAATTTATTAGTAAAAAATAAATAAGCTTATTTTTTTTTTTTTTAATCAAATGGTTATGAGTTGTAAAAAAAAAAAAAAAAAGGTCGGGAACCACTGATTTAGCAGATAAATCAAATGAGTACAAATAATGCTGTGATTCCAGTTGAAGCAAAGTTTCAAAGTCTAGAAAAATTGATAACTAAAGAATGTATTACTTAAAAGAGTTCTCTATATATATTAAATCCAATATAAAATTTAATAATTTAATACAATTGACTTATTAACATGATTGGTTAAAAAAAAAAATGAAATGAGTCAAGAATTCTCTCCCTTCCTTATCTGATTGATAATTATAATTGGGAAAGAGATATATGATTTTTTTATATATATATATATATATATCTCAAGAACAATTGATAGAGGAAAGAAGTATGACAAAGTGGAAAACGTTTTTCTGTGACATGTTTCATCCTTTAGACTAAATTTATGTTTTTGTTGATGTGACTATACATCTGGATGAAGGAAAGGAGGACACTGAGAATTTAAAATTCCTTTTCCTTTGTGCACTTGTGTATTAACATCAATGGAAACATCATTTTAGTTCTAAAGAATGAGAAACATCACTCCTCTGACATTTCTTTCCACTATAATTATAACTGAAATTTTTTTAAATTAATTTAATTTTGACCCTTTATGGTCTGAATGTGGCATAAAAATACTTAAAATAAAACTATGCTTGTTAATAATGAAAGTTTTTTTTTAAATTTAAGAAATTGTAAGAAAAAGAAACTTGCTTTAAATACTGTCTGGTTGACACTCCTCTCTGGTCTTTCAAACAGGAGTAGAGGTTTATCCCTTGTATCCTGATCAGGATTGGCTTTCTGGTTCCTTCTAAATTCTACTTCAACTCTATACCTCTAATGTCTTTACCTAAACACTGAAATTTATACTATTAATGGGTTTCTGGTTCTTTCTAAATTTTTCTCATTCTCTTTCACTTCCATTAGCCCATTGCATCTTAGTGGCATTATTGCCTTACTTAGGGTGAATTGATTTTAAACAAAGTACAGGAAACAAAAAAAACATTTTTTCAAGAAATCTTCTGTTATTTGAATGACTTACTTTTTGGATAGCACATTCTTAGATTCATGTAGATCTTCAACAATAAATCTACAGAGCATGATTTAAATTAAGATTTGGCAAAACATCTATTATTATCTATATATTAATGCATGTGTACCTATGTATGGTGAGTATCACTCTTGATATCACAGAGAGGTAAACAGAAAGAGAGGGATTGGAGGGAGACATCTTAGATAAAAGGCAATTGTTCATAATGAGGGGTTTTGGGATCTAATTATCCATTGAGGAAAAATTCACCTCTGAACTGCAAATGACCTTTTTTTTATCTTATCTTTGTGAATTTGTTACAGACTATGGGAACCCTGATTATGTTGAGTGCCTGAGAAAGACAGAGAGTTAAATATAAAAAGAGGGAGAAGTACGTATACACATATAGAGCAACACACTGTAGAGGTGATCATCTTAGATAAAGCTAGATGTTTGTAATGAGGGGTTTAATCCTGTTTTGTGACCTAACAGTTTGTTGGGGACATTTCAGTATTTTTAAGAGAGACTATCTCATTTTTCTTATAACTATATAGGAATGGTCATGGGTTGAAAAGTACAGAGTACATTATTAAGATATTTATTAGTAAATCCGTATGATTTACACTGGTGCTGCTCATTATTATTATGGGACAAAATTTGGGGTGGGGTAGCATTTAACTGTCAGATTTTTTTTATTATATTTGAACAAAGTATTCATAAATTTTTCTTATAAGTTCAGCTTTTAATATTAGTTTATCTACATTTTTTTTCTTTTATTTGCAATCAACTCTCATCATTTCCACTGTTTCCAGATCAGAAACATTTCTTTATAGAAAATAATGTTAGGCCTGCTAAAAATGAAAATATACATTATTTACAAAGATTTACCTACAATATAATCTGTTAAGTTTTCACACACACATTGTGTGTGTGTGTATATATATATATATATAGTATAATGTTATATTTTTTAGATCTTATTAAAAATGTGATAAGCTTATGAGGTCTGACCAAAAAGTATTGAAATTGGTGTATAAAAAGAAAGTACAACACACATCTATTTGGCATTTAATCTTGAAAGTAGTCCCTTTCTGAAACCACACACATCCAGCATTGTTTCCATTGATGGGAACTCCTTTTTGACAATATAGAGCAGCTGCTTCATTGCATTCTCTTTGATTTCCTTGATGTTCCTTTCATATAGGATTTAATTTTTGAAGAGGAAAAATTGCAAGAAGCAAGATCTGGGGAATATGGTGGTTGTCAGACATGAGGAATGTTGTTCTTGGCCAAAAACTGTCGATTAATGGAACCTTTGTGGTATGGTGAGATGACTACACTCTACACACTTTCCTTCCAAGCACTGCTATAAACAACAGAAGTGAGTGAGAACATTATAACATAGTGTGCATGTGTGACAGAGTTCAAAGTCAATCTGTGCCAAGCGGCTTCACTTTGTGTACTTTAGATCTGTTGCCATAGCAACAGTCCCAATACTTTTTGATGAGACCTCATATGTGTAACTAAACGTTTCATGACAATTGAGCACATAATGTAATCTATTTGTGCTTCGATAAAACCAATTGCCAGACACTTTAAAAGTTTTAAGTGTCTGGCAATTGGTTCAATCAAAACACAGATGAGGTTATATTGCATGCTTGATTTTACCATGAAATGCTTGCTTACACATATACATGTCATGTTTTTAATAATATCTAAAAAACATTACAATATATGTGGCTCTATCTTTAGGATATTGAGCACTGTGTTTAACAGAATCAATGATAACCTGTATTTAATTGGGCTAAATTTCTTCTTTTCATTGAATTTCTGTATCATTACTACAAAAATAAAATCCCAATAGAACACAATTGTCATAATAATTTATATTTTAGTGAAATGCTGTAAAGAGGGAAAGAAAAGTAGAAAAAATTAAATTGTAACCAAGAAAAGAAAATGCTACTTGTTAATTTTTGACTAATTTTTCTTTCATTTTAATTTTAGTTGCTTTATTTACACTAGTAGTGTTAGTAGTAGCTACATTAGCTTGAATTTTATTATTAGATGAACCATTTTCAATCATTATTAATTTTTCTTTCTTTTTAATTTCTCTTGCTTTATTTACACTAGTAGTGTTAGTAATAGTAACATTATCTTGAAATTTATTATTGCATGAAGTATAGTCAAAATAATATTACTACAACTAAGACAATTGTTTTATAATTATAACCAAAAATAAAAGACGATTGTCATGTGAAATGATTAATGAAATGAAATCAAACAAAAAATATACAAATACGTGTTTAGCAAAGTTCAATCAAAATAAATTCATTTCTAATTTGCAGAGAAAAATAAAAATTTGTTTAAATTCTAGTAGCATTCACAAATCCTAAAGAAGAAGACATTTTTTAAATTAAATTTTAATACTCACTGTTCAGAGGATGAGTTAAAATTTCTGCATTAATAATATTGTGTGAACCTTAAAGTTTTTGATGATTTACAGTCCTCAATAAAACTGGTTGTCCTGTATCAATGGCATACACAAATAGATCGCCATGAAACTGTTTAATACTTTAATACCATGGAGAATATTGAATTTTCATATTTATATGGTGACATTGTAGTTTGGTGGCTCACTTCATTTGTCTTCCTCATCTTTATCAATTTCCCATAAATATCGAAGTCTTTACAGTCAACATATTTTTAGTATAAGACACTGAATCAGAAAAGAATATTAAACAATATAAAATAATAAAAAATTGCCAACAAAGATGATAAACAAAGCCTTCACTTGGTTTGTTTATATTATGACTTTTTTTTTTTTAAAAAAAAACAAAAAAACAAAGGAGTATAATGTGACCATTATGAAATGAAATATGAAAACTAAAATTCTTTTTATACTTAAATGGTCCCATTGAGGAAAGAAATTTCTAAATTATATTTTAGCATTTGGGAAGGATTTTTAACAAAAAAGATTTTCTTTCTGAAAATATTGAATAAGAAGCAATGAAGGAAATGGGATGATTACAAATCTTTTTTCTTCTTTGTCTCCTTTTTTCATATACTATGACAATTAAGACATATTTAAATTGATCTTCAGACAAGAAACTTGTGACTTTTTCCAAATTATCAATCCATAAAAAATACAAGAGTCTCAGCTCCAAAGATTAAATTCAGTTTTCATTTTTAGATTAAATTTACAAAGTTGCTGATAATAAAGATTTTGATAAAGCTTGTAAACTGATGCCATTATATTTTAATAATCCTTTAATGAATTTAAAAAAATTACCCTTGGGGAAAAAAAATTAAAAAACATTCTTGTATATATCAACTGGACACAATAACATTTAATTGTGTTAAAAAAATAGTTAGTTTACAGTCTGTTTCTCCACAATATCTAGAAATTTATCTCTTGAGCTTTTGAAAATTAATCATGTCTAATAATATTGGCTCTAAATTACTTACATCTAATAATGTAGGCTGTAATTTATTTATGTCTAGTAATGTTGAATTTAAATTACATTTAATAATATGAGCTTTAAATAACTTATTTATGCTAATATAACCTTTAAATAACTTGTGTCTTATATAAGCTGTGAATTTCTTATGTTTAGTAATGTAGGCTCTGTGTTACTTAAGACTCATAACAAAAGATGACTAGAGACTTTAAATAAACATCTTTCCAGTTTCTCAATTAATGATTTTAAACATTTAATGCTTTGCTAAACAAATTAGAGGTCATTTTCCAGTTTCTTTTTCCATTTTAATAGATGAAAAAATAAAATAAACAGATTTTGTTAAAATTTTGGTGGGTAAGTGAATCCCTTGCAAAAGTTTTCTATCCACTGAATAGTTATCTATAAGATGCACCATAGAAATCTATCACCAATTGCACATCACTATTATCTCAGTAATTTCTGACGAGACTATACAACAATATTTACAATTTACACTTTAATTTCCTCTCTTTTTATTTTGTTCAATTTACTTTTTCTTTCAAAAAGAATGACTGAAAGAAAGTAAAACTGAATGGAAATAAACAATTTTTTTAAAATAAATTTTCATCAATTCTTAAAATAGTAAATTCAAAACAGCTGAGAATTGCCTTAAACAAAAGAGGTTGATTTTTGTTATATTCTCAGCAATACTAATGATATCGGAATCATTATATTGTAATGATGGCGTAATTATATCGTAATCATTATATCGTAATGATTGCACAGCAACCAAAATTCTCTGCTGCCACAAAGTGTCACATTACTTGGTCAATTCTCATTGTGTTTCATTTTTTTTGTTTCTCTTTAAAACTTTCTTGAAAATATTTTATATTATTATTTTTCTCTAAAAATTATTGGTTTATGAAAAATGTCTTCCAGAAAAATTTGGATTATTTTCCTAAAAAGTAAATTTTCCTGGAAGTTTTGGATATATAATTCCAGACATTTAATAGTAAAGATTTCTTCTGGAATATGTGTGTGTGTGTGTGTGTGTGTGACAAATGAATTTAGATGTAAATTTACTAATAATTTTATTATGATATACTTTTAAGAGTGACTAGAATATGATTATGGCACTGCCAAACCATTTTATGTTTTTCATAATTTTGCCATCTTTTTTTTTGTTTCCTGAATATGGTTGGACTTCACAACCAGAATGCGAGAAGACAATTAGCTTTCCACTTTTAAAAATTAAAAAAAAATTAAACAATAAAAAGTGCTTCACATAAACAATAAGTGTTCCTTTTTTGTCCTTTCTGGTTAAACACAATTTCTGATTTTAATTTCTACAAAAATATAGAGGAACACAAAGTTTTCTTTCTTTTCTTTTGCGTTCTCCAGCAATATTCTTTTTTTTTTCCCATTTTTTTCCCCCCACAAGATAGCAACTAAACACTGTCTGAATTTATAGGATGAAGAGTTATCATTATTCACACTATTTACATTTGGACTATTGTCATCATCTTTGTTGTTATCACAACATTCCAGCCTTCATCAGGTGTATATCGATCTGGGTAATCTACTAGGTTCTCTTTGGAATTTCCTGTAGGTTAACCAGATTGATATACACCTTATGAAGGCCAGAGGACACAATGGCCAAAATGTTGTGATAGCAATAACAAAGATAAGGACAATAGTTTGAATGTAAATAGTGTAAATAATAGCAACTAATCAGTTGAAGCATTTTTCCTCGAACCATATTTCTATATTGCCACACATCTGTTTGCACAGATCATCTCAACTGGAAGATATTTTTTTTCAACTTATTTTCTCTTGGTCATCTTAAAACAGCAAGAGGACTGACCAATCAGGCAACGAGAATTGCTGCTGCTGATGCAGGGGAGATAAAAATAGCACAAGAAGTTTAATTATCTGCTGCTGCTGTTGTGATGATGATAGCCATTTTTGGAAAATGTGCATATCCCTTCAGAAATGGTCAGAAGTTATGCAAAAATGCGGGATCAACTGAGGCAAGTTTTGCTGAGAGGAAAGCATGGATGCAGAATAAAAGAGTTTGGAGACTGGTGCATTCAATTTCCTGCAAGAAGAAAAATGAAAAGTTAATAATTACATTTAGCATATCTATGAAGCGGTAGGATGAGCTTAAAAATGTTATAATGCATCTTTCCAATAACCACTTGGCATTAGTTGATATCTTGCAGAAAATTTTAACAAGTTTAACAAATGTACCTGCAAAGAAGATTTTGTAAGAAATGGAGTTTTTTTTCTCTTGATAGCAATATCATTACCATATACTATCTCAGAAATTTTTATTATTTAAAAAAAATATTTAATGAATTTTAATAAAATCTAAACATGTGAAACTGGATTTGTACATTTTTTCTTGAGAATAGACAACAAAACTGTTAAATGCAATTTATTTATTAATTAGATTTTATTTAAATGCAATATTTATTATTTTTTACATTTTATAAAGAAATAAATTTGAAAAGAAATATTTTTATTTATAACTTTCTAAAAAACAAAATTATCCAGATATATCAACCAATTAAAATGCAATATTTATTATTTACCATTTTATAAATAACTATGAAAACAAGTTTTTATTCAATCTAATAAATAAATAGTATTTAATATCTTTGTTGTCAATTCTCAAAAATAGAGAAAATAAATAAATCCACTTTCATATGTTTTGGTTTTATTAAAATTCTAATCATTGCTTTTTAAAACAATAAATATTACTGAGGGAGTCAAAAGTCTAAACTATAATAGTTGTGTCAAGGAAATAATGGTCCTTTTAACCAACTGTTTTTTTTTTTTGGTAAGTACAAAAGTTAAACATTGCTAGAATTTCTTTGAAATTCCTCTATTGTGATCCAAGTGTTGTTAATCACACATTTATATAAACAGGGCTAGTATTTTAACATTATTATACCAGTGATTTATACATAGGATTGAAATTTCTCCCCTGGGAGAATCATTGGTTTACAAGTTTTATGTGAATCATTGGTTTACAAGTTTTATGTTTGCATTTAAATGACCAAAATTTGGAGTTCAGAGGTGAAGAAAAATTTGATGATTACCCTTGTTTCAATTAATTTTGTGGTGTCATTTTGGAAAAGTAATTTTAATTTGGATTTGCCATCATCAGAAGATCCTTTCAATTGAGAGAATCTGTATGTCCACATATAATTCTGAAATAGAAAAACAAAATGGAATCACATTTACAATATATATTTATATATATATATATATATATATATCACAAACTTAAATACAATTGTTGCAAACATCCCTGTAGAGAAGTTCAAACTTGTTGAAAACCAAGCAAACTGGAGAAACACCTGCTACTGAGGTACAACTAACTTTGAAAAGAATCATCTCAACCATCTGAGAGAATTAAGAATTAACACTAAATCTGAGGCTAATACGTCAGCAACCCTTCAGTATGTTCTTTGTGTGGATTTATTTGCAAATCCCATACAGGATTGTTGTCTCATATGAAACAAACATAAAAACTTGAACTGAAAGACACTTATACGTCAAAAATGATGAGAGAGTCCATCATATGTGTGTGTGTGTGTGTGTGTATATATATATATATATATATATATATAGTGGACATTGTGGTCAACACCTAGTAGCAAGAGTCTGTTTCATGCTTAAACACCTGAAATTTGTATTTAAGCATGAAACAGACTGTTGCTGCTGAGTGCTGACCTCAATGTCCATTTATATTTATATATACTCTATACCTCATATTGACCACTTTAACCCATCAATACAGCACACCATAAAAGTATATATATATATATATATATATATATATATATATATATATGTAAAATAGCTGGCCACTTGTATTTAAGGATACCCATCTACTAGGTTGGCTAGCCAATCCCTACTTCAGACACTTGCTCAGGCCCATTTGTGTTTGTTCAACACCCACAGAGCCAACCTGTGGTTTATACTGCAACTATGCTGAGCAGACCTTAGTTACAGTTTCTGGGAGGGAGCATGTTATCTAGAATCTGAACAACATGAGCACACTCAAGCCCTCGGTCATGATGACTTGTGACTAGATGCTAGCACAGCTATTGATGGCCCCCAAGGGTTCTGTCTACCCAATTTCACTCACAAGGCTTGGGTCAACCCATAGTATGGTTTTCAGGCACTTTCCAAAGGTGCCATACACTGGCATCGTACCCCACTCCAGACCAATAACATCAGGGTCTCTCCTTTCTGACAAATCGACCATGGTGAGATTCAAAAAAAAAAAAAAAAAAAAAAAATTTTATATATATATATATATATATATATATATATATATATATATATATATATATATGGATTTTATTTATAATCCTACATTATTTCTTCTTATATTAAATAGTGTTTTTTTTTTGCTTTGTTTTTTTAAACAGTGTAAATATATGTCTGCTAGCCTGTACTTTTAACAGTCTTAATAAAAAGACATATTTTTCTTTTATTAAGCACTTGATTGTACAGGCCAGTAGACATAGATTTAGAGTTTAAGAAAAAGGAAGAAAACAAGTACATCTATTCAAATCTGCTAAATATAACGTTTATAGTAATAAGAAATATATAACATTTTTTGATTAGTTACTAACAGACTATTTCACACAGTGCACTTTTCAAAATGGACACTTCTAACCTCTACTATTGGTTTGGTTGATTTAGTATAGCAACATATCAACCTCAATGGGTTATTTAATGCCAAAATCTAAATATTTTGACTACAATTTTATAGCTTCACCTAAATATATTTTGAATAAAATTGTATGTCTTCAATTACAGATAAAACGTATTGTTGGTCATTTTGCTATAAAATGTTGGTAATACTACTATAAATAGGTATTGTTGGTTATTTTACTACATAAAAGTGTATTGCTAGTAGTTTTACTATAAAAATATATTGCTGGTATTTTTATACTTTCATAGTGTTTTGTTTTTGTTTGGTGGGGGTTCACTATTTGCCCATAGCTGGGACCCTAACAGGTGCTACCATTCCAGGTCAGAGTGGAGCTAGGAACAACAGCAGTCAAGAGGTGGTTTCACATTCCACAAAACCTCCAATCTCCTAATCAGAGGTCTTTGCTGCTGGATGTAGTTTATCCTCATACCCAGGACTACCAAGCTCCACAGTTTTTTTCAAAAGGAATATGCCAGCATTTTACTTACAGAAGTTTTAAATCCTTGCATGATAAAGATGAATGTTTATGGATGTAATTAACTAATTAACTGGTTTTTAAGTGAAAGAGAGAGACAGGAAAAATAGATCAAATGTTGGTGCATTTTGATCGATTGATTGACTGATACTCACCCGTGTCTCACTGTCATACAAAGAAAACCCAACATGTATGTCAAGTGTCAATCCAGACAGGCGACCTCTCCAATTGCAGCCAAATGTTTTACTCTATAAATAAAGATTGTCATATAAAGAAGGAAATAGATGAGAATAAGTAATAAAAGGTGTGTGCAAAAGTTCTCAGCATCTTTTCTTTTTTTAGAAATGGAATACACAATTGAAACAAGGTGTATATTTTCCCTATTCAATTTATCATTTACCCTGTGTCTAAAAATAGGAAAGAAAAATTGATTGACTGATTCATTCATTTTCTACAACATATCAACAGCAGGTTGTTTAAAGCCAGGAAATATTTTTATTGTAAGAATATTTAAGAGATAATAATGATTTTCTGATACAAGTCCTACTAATCAATAAAGAAATGCTAGAAACTTTTGTAGCAACCCAATATAATTGAAGACGCAATTTATCTAACAGTTGTCTCTAAGTACATTGAAAGTCAAGAAAAATACTTTAATAAGTAAGTAATATCTGTCTATATTTCTAAGATGAGGTATTGTAATTATTTACATTATTTACATTGTTCAGACTGTTGTCCTCATCTTTATTGCCATATTCATGACATTTCAGCTGTTGTATGCTCAGGTGACTGGAATTTTGAACTGAACCCTTTATTTCATCTACTGGAGTAGTTTGTTCTTGTTTCACATGCCATGCCTCTTCTAGTTGTCTCAGTTATCTCCTTTTAATTCAACCACTGCCATAGCCAGGGATTGAATTTATACTGCAATATACAGTACAATATACATTTTGTTGTTATTATTGTTTTTCTCTAGCACTCCATATTACTGGTTCCTATATTGTATTCATTTCATTGACTGAATGATGACGTTATGAATTGATATGACTAAAAGATTTTGTTAAAAGAGTTATTGTGGAGAGAAATACTTTGATAAGATGTCCACAAATTACAGCAAGCTATTTTCAACCATGCCAATTGATTGATCGATTCATATTCTATGGTTTATCTACACTTTGCATGTTATTTAAAGCCAGAAAATATTTTTAGATTATATTTATTTTTTTTTTGAGCTAACAATAGTTTTAGTGATACAAGTCTTACTAAATAACCCATAGCTGGGGGGAGAGGAAGTGGATTCATACCTTTCGCAAGGGTATATGCAGATAAGTGAATATAACAAACCCAACTGGAATTGGAACTTGGCTCTCCAATTAACAATTCCAAGCTATTACCCATTGTACCACCCACATATCCAAGCTTACAACACCTGGTATTCCCAAGCAGTCACCCATCTAGGTAATGACCAGGCTTGATGTTGCTTAACTTTGATGATTTTATGAGAACAGATATTTCAATGTAATGTGGCTTTAAGCTCTTTATACCACATACATATCCAAGTTTACAGCACCTGCTGTTCCCAAGTGGTCACCCATCTAGGTACTGACCAGGCTCGACATTGCTTTAATTCAGCAATTGCATGGAAACCAAAGTTCCAACTTGATCTGGCTGTAAACCAAAAAGGAAAATGGAAGCATTCAAGTTGTGCATGAGACACTGCATGTTTTTTTCTCAAGTGGGCAAGACAGCAGTAGGAGTGAAAATGATGATTGATGAAGTCAGTGGAGATGATTTGGTTGGAAGCAGTATAGGTCAGGAAAGGTTCGTGCTGTTCAGGAAAGAGGAATTTGACTCAGTGAGGACAAACCACACAGCAGGAGATCTTGAGAGTTTACAAAGCTCTCTTTAATGATTAAAATTGGTGTTAATCACTCAAAAGTATTAAGGTGTTTGCAACATATGGAAAAGATTAAAAAAGTCAGAAAAAGAATTGTCAGACTGAAGCATTAGTCAGTGTCTCATCAACTGGATTTTATTTCTTGCTAGACATGAAAAAATATCTTCCTTATGGAAAATTGTCCCTCAAGAAGAAAATTTTTTTCTGGTTATAATTCAATAGCATTGAATATTGGATCCAAGACAGCTGGTAGTATAAACAGCAAAAAACTAACATTTTGGAAAGAAAATTTATTGCTTTGCATTTTATTGTATATGGAAAGGTGTATTGCATTACAAATTGTTAAGACCTGGTGAAATTGTTATTACAATCATCAGGTTTCAAGTTAAAGACTTGCAATTGTAGGAAAACAGACATGTGTCTAGGTCAGAGCAGTCAGAAGGTCATGACAGTGCTTGTCCAGATGTTGCTTTGTTGCCACAAACGAAACAATAATGGAATCAAAAAAATACAATCCTCACATGACATATTCACTAAAATTGATACCATTTGTTTTGGTCAATCTGTTTAAAAATATTTTCAATATTCAAAATATGATTGACAGGTTTAATACATTGAAGCCTGGGGCTTTTATGAAGGATGCAAATCAAAAGCTACCTTGGTTTAAGGTGAGGGAAACTAATTAGAAATTTAGTAAATATATTTAAAATTAAGATCTTAAATTAAAAAATACTGGAAACTTTTGCACATATTAACAAAAAAGTGACAGAAAATAAGTACTAGCAGTAGAGCCCGGCATTTCCTGGGGATGTAACAGTAAGAGATAGATCAAGTATCGACCATCATAAAGACTGAAAAATAAAATTGACAAAGATTATTATTTAAGGTTGATGGACATACATGTCTTAATTATTTTTTTTTTTTTTTTTTTTATGAACTGGTCAAACCCAAACTCAAACAAAAACATTGTTTTCAATTGTTATGAGTCTACCGATTGAATAGAATTTTATTATAAACAATTGTGTTGTAAATGAAATTTTTAAAGCATTCTGCATGTAAAAATAAAGAAAAAAGTGTGCAAGACAATAACAAACACTACCTGCCAAAAAAAAAGTGAAGTTTTGTTGAAATCGGTTGAAAAATGTAGGAAATTCAATCCCATATATAAATGAACACACACACACACACAACCTAGGTTTTATAAGTATAACTCGATATGAGTTGTCCTCCTTTCATTCTCGTGACAGCGATGCCTCTTAATTGTGTTTTCAAATTGATTTTGTACAAAAACAATTGTGTTTTTTCAATTTTTGACACTGTCAGAACCACCGCAATGTAATTTTAGTCCTGTGAAGTTTTGTTGAAATCGGTTCAAAAATGTAGGAAATCCGATCCAATATATAAACAAACAGACACACACAACCTGGGTTTTATAATAAGTATGATATATATATATATATATATATATATATATATATATATATTTTTATTATAAGAGATTATAATAAAAACATTTTCAAATTGCTATAGAAAAGCTTTCATTTTTCAATACTATGATTGTATTTCTTCAGGCAATGGTAAGTATTCAAACATGAAAGCTTTTGTATAGTGATTTGAAAATGTTTTTATTATAATCACTTATAATAAAAATATAATAATAATTCCCCTACTTTGTATTGAGCACTTTTTTAAAAGGAAATGCTATGAACAGTGAATTTTTACTCCATCTTTTCTTTCTCTCATTTGGATATATATATATATATGTGTGTGTGAGCCAGTATTGATTGATTTTAATTAAATAAAAATGTTGGAAACTTTTGCATATATCTAATAAGTAAATATATGTATGAGTAATTAATTATTAACTTATTTTAATTAAAATATAGAAACTTTTGCACTTGTCCAATAAACAAATGATAGTAAATAAATATATGTATGATTTATTATTAACTAATTTTAATAAAAAAATGTTAGAAACCTTTGCACATATTTAAAAAAAGAAATGATAACAACATATAATCATAAAGTATTCTGGGATTTTGAGCAAAATAAATAGTGTCCAGATTTGCTGTTTTCCTGCTTATGGAATATGACCTTGCTAACGATATAGCAGATAAATCCAGCCTAGTTGAATCTGGAATCCTACATATGGTTTCTCTAGAAACACAGAAGAATTTTTGGCAACTCCAATTCCTGTTAGGAATTATTATGAGTAAGACTATCTTTTCACACTGCTTGTTGTGTAAACATGTGTTGTAGTTTCTCTGCATGGGATAAATGTAAATATATGAATATAGTTTTGTGTATAACTTAGTAGTATAAAAGTATTTCTGAAAACAAATCATGTTTGTCATTTCTTTTCTTCCAGCTATTCTCTTCCATCCATGAAATAAGGTGTTGTTATATCATGAATATAATGATTCCCATAATAAATGAAATGCAAATTGGGAGAATAAACCTTTCTACCATAGAAGGCCAATTATCAGGGCTAGTGCAAGGGTAATGTAGGCCCCAGCAAATCTAAGATACACCCATCCTGAATCTATGATATGCTCCCCTACTCTACTACAAATCAATTTTCATAATGTAATATTAATATAAAATACAAATTTTATTGTAACCTAATTATGTACAATAATGGATCCTATGTAATATAGGTGAGCAATTCAACAAGAAAAATTGAAAATAAATACAATGTATCTAAATACAAATTAGAGATATGTCATAATAGATGATTCCATCTTAAATAAGTTAACAATGTCTGGCGGCAATTTTTAACATCAACATGGAATCTGAAGAGGAAAAATTGAAATTACAAGTGTTTATAGATTTTGAATTTGATAAGAAACATTCTCTGATTATAGCCAAATGAAAATATGTCAACAAATAATGATTTCTTCTAACCTTAAGGAAGTTGACAGCATGGTGATTGGTTCGATACCAAGCTTTCTCTAACTGAAGAACATCTGAGCGGCTTTCAAGACTGAGGTAGATGCTGCCTCCTGTTCCTGTCTGGATAGTGAAACAGTGTTGACGATCATCTGTTAACTCTGTGTCCTAAAAAATAAATTATCGATTAAGAAAATTAAACAGTACGATTAAATATATATATATATATATATATATATATATATATATAGGTGGCACTAATTTAAAGTCACATGAAACTGCTTCTGGACCTGCATATCTTACCACAAATATCACATTTCAATTGCTGGACATCTACAGTTTCATAGGCAATTGCCACCTTCAGTCAATGAGCTCTCAAGTGACTACTTAGAACAGCCATCGACAAACACATGCTACCACAATCTGCATATGTCAGATAGAGCTGAAAGTTTTGGGGAATTTAGTTAGGTCGCTTATTTAATAGCTTCTTTTGGTCTGGAAAGATGAAGCTATTTATTCGTCAATTTTGGATATTTATTTATATATATATATATATATATATATATATATATATATATATATATATATATATGAATTATATATATTACAAATTAGACTCGATATAGCTGCATCAAGTCTAATTTGTTACCACTTCATCACTGAGGCCCATTGGTCCAGTTAGTATGACGTTTGCCTGATATCATAACTGTTCGGGTTTCAATTCTCAGTAGTGGATGCGCACTGCTGATCAGTCCTAAATATAGGACGAAACAGTCGTCCAGTGCTTTCTGCATTCTGTTGAGGTTTCTTCTAAACTTGATGAATTACTTAATTATAATTATCTCAAATCCTTCTAATAATTTGTATCATATATATATATATATATATATATATATATATATATATATACACACACACGCATTTAATATATATATATGTGGGAGAAAAACTATAATAATGCTTTAAAAGTTTTTGTTGCCATATTTTCTCCTTTAGGACTTCATCAGACTAAAGACAAAACATCTAACACAAAACCTTATTCAACTTTGTCATATTTGCTATATATACAATTTTACATATTATCTTCACACATATATATATATATATATATATATATATATATATATATATATTTAGCTGAAAAAAAGAAAACATCTTTACCTGTCATTGCACAAAGAAAAATTCCCTCATATAATCAAAAGCAATTACCTTTAAAATCCGAAACATTGATTCATAAACTTTGGACACTCTTTCACAATTATTCCAGTCACGCAAATCCGCCTGAAAAATAAATTTTACTTTTATTCTGATTTTTAACTAAATAAATAAAAGATAAAATTAGAAAATAATTATATTGAAATTGTTGGGCCCATATATTAAGGCTATAAAGCAAACTACGGAAGCCAAACTGAAAATCTTTTCTAATGTTTAGATAATCACTCTGATGTTTATAAAGGCTAACAGCTACCTAACCAACTACTTTCACAAATGCAGAAAACTTAAAGACAGTTGTTGCTTGCTAATCTTATAAGAAATTGAAGTGGCTTGAACATTTATTGTTTGCTTTTCTGAGAGAAAACAGATACTGCATTGGGCTCTTGCTTAAACTTTTGAATTTCAAAAATATTGTTGGTACATTTCAATTTGTGGGAAAATAGCTGCATTTGTTTTTCATTCAGAGCCTACTGAAAGGTTTCCCTCCAAATTCTGAGAAGTGAAATCTGGAGCCTATCTGGGTGAATGAAAGGAAAACCAGGAATTGAATTCGATGGGTCAATGAACAACTGCTTCATGATTCCAGGTCAGCCCTCAAAAATTTGTCACAGAAGAAATTTGATGACTGCTAGATGAGAATTGAAAGGAAAATCAAAATCGCTCCCTCAACAAGGAAAATTCTTTGGTTGGTGTGATTTAAATGTTACCTCAAACATTTGTTTGAACTATTTTTTAATAGGGTTTTTCCCAAAACAAAAAATCCTTTATAAGTAAACCAATGAACAAAATGTTTTATAAAAACAGGCATTTTAATATTGTTTGTGATTTTGTGAATCATGTATTTTCATCATCTGAAGATAAATTTCTGAATGAAGACAACGATGCACTCACAGGTGGAGTATCAAACAAGTAAATTTCACTTCCTTTCAAAGCCAGAAATTTTGCTCTCCATGCCTGCCATTGTCGGTTGACTTGGATTTTCTCAAAGCACCAGCAAACATGGAAGATCTGAAGAACAACAAAATAAAATGATTTCAACAAAGATTCTCATAATTTTTTATTGCTATTTCGCTCTTAATAAATAAATTAAAATCAGAACAGTTACTTAAATCCCTAGGGAATCATCGAGAAGAAAAAATTATTTTAATTCTGAAATAAAATGGACAGTGAACAATTAAATGATCCACAGCTAATGTCCGCCGGGCGATGTAGGGGAGATAACTATGTCAGGTTTTAAATTCATATTCGTGATTGTAGGATAAATGGTCATGGTGAAATTAGCCGTTTCCATAGAAGGAGAAAATTGGGTATTCATTGACCGAATTAGAGTTTCTATCAGTTAAAAATTTATAGTTTTTTTTTTATTAAAAATTTTTTTCAAATCCTAACTGTTATTGCTCTTCCAAGTATTGATGGGAGTTTTCCTTCGAAAAATTTTGTTTAAGGTAGTATGGAAAGTCGTTTATTTTCCCTTCTAGTTACATGTGTTATCCATTTTTGTTGTAACTGTTGGAAAAATATGAGTGATTTTGCAGTTCCAGTTTATAGGGTCTGATGAAGGATTCAATACCTTGAAGCCATTTTTAATCCCTGATCTGAGAAAAGGGTTGTATATAGATGACAGTTTAAGCATTTTAAAATATCAATTCCTTATCATGAGTTATTAAATGATCCTTAATAATTTTTCAACCGATTCAAGACACATCTTAGAAATTCATTGTACCATTTTCCTTCTAATACATCTTGATATAGAAATGCTTTATTGTATGTTGATATATAATATCAAGTTTTATCTATGATATATAAATCAACTTTGATTTTGATAGAGTTACTTCAAGGTGAGTTTTTTTTTTTTTATAATCGGTATCACCCCATGCAAAGCAGTAAAGCCACTAAGACACAAAGGGTTACAGGGTGAGGAAGAATTAGAAACAGAAACATTAATAATAAGAGAAAATAGTAATCAGGTGAACAGTTGAAAGCAACTGACACTGCATTTAAATTTTTGCAGATTAAAGTTGTCTGTAAAGCATGGAGTCAGAAATGAGTTCCACAAGAGAGAAGTGCAAGAAAAGAAAATGAGCTTTATTTATTCTTTGCAATGGATATTGAATCACTTACTTTAAAGGCTTCAATCCAATAGTAAATAATCAGTTTAGTATTTAGTTGAGAGTTTAAATATAAGAAATTCTCAAAGAAATCCATTTTTATCATGTCAACAGACAGGATTAACAAACACTGAGAAATACTTCTTCAAAGTTTTTCAGATGATTTAAAGTTTCTCCAAAAAAGAACTACTACTAATTCTATGTACCATGTCCCTTCATGATATTGACACAATCATTGTTCTTTATAGTTTAATCTCCTTTGTAGCTTTTAATAAATTTTGTATATTTGTTATCTCTCCTAAACTTTGTTCTGCCATCATTTTACTCAAGCTTGCAAGGTAGTTTATGCATGGTTTTCATCTGTCCCTCTTGTCTTCAAGCCGGTCTTTCCCCATTATGCGCCTTAGAACTTTCAATTGTATCTTCCTGATATTATGTATAAATGTTCTTTTTGTTTCCATTTTCTCCAAAATGTTGTTGCTGCTCACATGTTTGGTTCATATTATTCTCAGTATCCTTCTGTAGAAACACATTTTTGTTTCAAGTCTCTTCCTCATCTGTGAAAAGATTATTCAGCATTTATAGGAGGACTGATATTATGTAACAGTTCAGTACTCTTTTCTTTGTTTCTGACAATATTTTTTGTTTCTTAAATACTTTATCAAAAAGACCCAAATATAAACAAAAATTAAACAAATGTAAACACTGAAGCATGATCCTCTGTCAATTTAATGAATTAAAAGAGAATTGTTTTATTTTAACAGTAAAGACATTATAAAGTGAATACCTTCACCAAAATCTCAAAAGATATTTCAACTCACCTGGTCTTCAGGTATCAACATTTTGTTCCATTTTGATATCTAGGGAGGTAAAAAAAGTATGTGATTATAAATATACATATACAGTAAACCCAATATTGTAAGGGACCAGTAAGAAGAGATGGTTAAGTTTCAAGAGTAAGATTGGAGGACATTTTACTACTTGAAATAAAATAAAAATATATAATGCAATAAAAAAAGTATTGGTTATTATTTAAAAAAAAAAAAAGAAAAGAAAAATGAAAGGTAATTTATTATAATTTAGTAATGTAAAATGTTTAATGGAGAGCAGCTTGGAATGAAAAATTGGAGAGCAGAGTTGGAACTCCAGTCAAGTTCATTACATTTAAAGGTATGAATTCATCTCTTCTCTCTCCAGCTATGGATTAAATAGCAGAGAAACCAGTCTACCGTAGAAAGAAATGGCAACCAACTGTGGGAAGATCTCAGCCTAGTCAGTTATGAATCAAAAGAGATATGATTGCTGTGTATCACATATGCCACTTAACTGAATACAGGTATAATAATTGCTATATTTTTTATGGCTTATCAACTGGAATTGGAATGAAATTAGTAATGGCACCTACCCTGAATCCATCATAAATACAAGAATTATTAAATACTAAACACTTCAAATAACTTGGCATATAGATCAGCTCTTGGAATGAGAAATCAGAGCTGATTTCAAATTCCAGTCAGATTCATTTAATTGTTAACCTTTTAAAACCCTTTATTATACATTCAACACCATCATTTGATAAGACACCAGAAGTGTTGAAACAAAATGGCTATTTTTGTAGTGATTTTATAACATATTTATGTTATAATTTTTGAATAAATAATTATATTTGCTCTACTCTGTATTGAGCACTCTTTTAAGTATAGTATTTGTTGGCTATTGGAATTTATTCCATATACACCAATCCTATACTTGTATGTGTGTGTGTGTGTGTGTGTATATATATATATATATATATATATATAGAGAGAGAGAGAGAGAGTGTAATGCTTACACTTTCACTGTACCATCAGGAAATGACAGCATATTTATATAATTTTGCAAATGATATCAAAAAATCTTGTTTTTATTCAATACTTACTAAACTAAACAAATAATATTCTATCTAAACCTGAATAATTATGGAGATTTATTCAGGTTATTTAAAGCCAGAAAATATTTTTAGATTGTAAGAATTTGGGGAGAGGGATAATAATTGTTTAGTGATACAAGTCTTACTAATTACTGGGGGTAGAACAGGTGGATTCATACCTTTCCCAAGAGTATTTGCACTTCAGTGAATATAAAAAACCTAATGGGAATTAGAACTCTGCTCTCTGATTAACAATTCCATTATCCATTACACCACCTGCACATCCAAGCTTACAGCACATAGTGAAGTGAATATAATGAACCCAACAGGAATTGGAACTCTGCTCTCTGATTAACAATTCCAAGCCATTATCCATTACACCACCCACACATCCAAGTTTATAGCACATGGTATTCGCAAATGGTCACACATCCAGATACTGACCAGGCTCAACATTGTTTAACTTCAGTGATCATACGAGAACTGGTGTTTTGACATGATGTGGCTGAAAGTCTATTTTCTACTATATCCCCAAGAACATTGAACTAAACAGAGATAGGTGACTATATCACCAGAAGAGTCTGTAGGGAAAATAAAATAGAATCAATAAATAAAACAATAATAAGGAATAATAAAAAGAAAGAAAATAAGTAAATTTTCCCATGATGTTAAAAATAAAGGAACCAGAAATATGATTTCCTCACTTGATTTAACATGTTGTTGTTGAAGCCTATAAAATAAGGCAAACATTTCCTGTCTCACTCTCATTCTCCTATTTGGTCCAAGATGTGAACCATGTGGTAATTATGTTCCCACTGGAGAATGTGAGTTTCCCCAGTCCACTGATGACTGAACTCTCTTCCCACTTTTCAAAGCATGGCACTTACACATTTCTTCCAAAACCTCAACCTATAGAGTTGGTCAAGCTTTCTCTCTGATTGTTCTAACTCAGCACAAGGCTGACTTGAGTGTGACCATAGTAATGATACTTGTACTGACTTACTGTAATTTCTGAACCAAGAAAAATGAAAACAGACATCCCATAACCATATTTAGCCTCCCAACAATAAAGTAAGTACGAACATTTCTTTGGTTGTTCCAACTCTGCACAAGGCTGCCTTGAGCTCAACCATTAATATGATGCTTATACTTACCTACCCTAATTTCTGGATTAAAAAGAAAAAGAGACAGTGAGAACTTTGTTTTACTACAGTCACCATAAAAAGAATAAATGTCCATATTAGAAATTCAAGTTTTTTGTTTACATATTGAACACACACCCACATAAATACACACAAACTCTTGTTAACATCCACTAAAAACTGGGAAAATGCATTATAAATGCTAGTACAATAAATCAATTTTCATTCCAATACTATCTGCTTTTTAGAAAATCATGTATTAACAGAAGAAAATAACTCTCAAAGAAGCATTGACAATTTGCTTGTATTCAATTATTAACAGCAATTTTGGAAAATTTCAGAACAATATTTATTTTCATCAATTATATTGTAATCAAACAGTCTTTACAAAAACAGACCATCTTTTAAAATAAGACCTCTTGTAATATTGCAAAATCTAAAGCTATTATTTTTTTACCTTAAAAGGGGATCTTTAAAGATTTTAGCAACTTTGCTAACTGAATACAGCAGCCATTGTTATATTTTTCTAATTGAATTTAAAGTGGAGGGAATGTTTTTGGTAATTTAAAAAAAAGAATTTCAATGAAAGGAATGTTATTTCTAATTTGTACTTTTTGGTACTAAAAAGAAATGATTGTTCAATGTGAAGCTATTAAATTTTAAAAATTTGGAATTTTGCGATTAATCAATATCCAATTAAAATTTTATTGATTCCATAAATTTCTGTCAAAAGATGAAAATAATTTCCCTCATTGCATGTTTTCTGTTTGCAGCTGCTTTAAGATTCATTAAAAAACAAACATTCAAATTTCAGACAATTAGAAAAAGGAAGAAGAGAATAACATTTTACCAGAAAGAATCATCAAAGGCAGAAAATACATAAAAAAAAAAGATATAAAAATTATTTGCTAGCCTTAAATAATTATGGGATGGCAACTTAACAAAAATCTTTGAAAGGAAGTTATTTGCATTGTACACATTTCAAAACTGTCTTAGCTTATTTGAGAATTGCAAAAAGGAATACAACTTTCAAGTTTTAATTTGAATGAAAGGAAATGATGATTGTTATAGTTTCAGAGAAGAAAAGATCTTAAAATTAGAGTTTGAAGTTGTTTACTGAACTGAAAGTAAAAGCTACACATTGATCTAAACCATCTCCTTAGCTAAGGAACACATAAAAATAAGTACAGACCAATTAAAAATCACAACCAAAAATCAGTTATAATTTAAGAATTTTGGAGTTAAAAAAAATTTCCCATTGAGAGGATATTTTTCAAAGTTTATTTTAGCTGGCGAATTAAGATAGTTCAAACTACTGCTTTTATTGTCTTGAACTAATCTTTGGTATTCACAAAAGGTAATGGCAACGCTATTTCTGTAATTTCATTGGTGAGAATAACTGCCTCTCAAAATAAATCAGTGCCAAAGATACAAGATCAGGGCTACCAATTTATTGATTTTTAATGTTTTTTTGTTATTTAAAAATAGTTGAACTATACAAGATCTTATAAAACTTATTATACTTTGAACTTTATGATAGTATCCACTTTTAAAGTTATTTGTTCAATCATATAATTACACAAAAGACACGTTTTTCAAAAATACTAAATTTGGAATTGTTAAAGAGTGCCACTTATTGTTGATCAACTTAGTAAAAATAAAAATAATAAACGAGCAATGCATTTTTCTTCAAGTTAAAGATCAAGAACTCCTCTCCCAAAATCAACTTTTCTATAATATATTCCACTGTTCATTGTAGGTATTATTCTATGCTAATAAATAAATAACCTTGTGTTCCTTTATATTTCCTTTGTAAATAGGGGAAATCAGAATGTTAATACATTGCTTTTTATTTTCCTTTTGATGATTTAAAAACAGACTTCTTTTTTTATTGTGACAGCAGAGTTAATTATATTGATAAATCTCTCCCTCCCTCCCTCTCTCTATTCATATATATATATATATATATATATATATGAATAAAGACAAAAGGAAAACTTATCTTAGCCAATGCAATTTGTCTGCTGATTCTCTCTCTCACATACACAAATATATACATGGTGGACTCTCTCGTCGTATGAGGGTCAAGCAGCTCAGTTCCTAGGAACTGACAGCCCAGACACCAGCACATATGATTTGATTATAGGGGTATATGCTTTGTGCAGAACCAACCACACTTTTTGAAGGGCCAAATACAGAGACCTGGTGCACTATGTGCCACAAGGTCCCAAAATGACGCGCCGTAGGTTTTGAATTCAGAGTTGTCCTTCTCCTAGACCAGTTGTCATCCAAGGCTATAGAGCCCAGTCTGCCCTGCTATTTACCCATAGCTGGAGGGAGAAAAAGAGGATTAATACCTTTCCCAAGGGTATTAGCGCATAAGTGAATGTAATGTATTCGAGTGAAATTTGAACTTGGCTCTCTGATTCCTCAATCCGAGCCGCTATCCACCATGTCTCTCTCTCTCTCTCTATATATATATATATATATATATATATATATCTCAGAGGATGAAACATGTCAGCTAAGATAATTTCTCCTTTTGTCTTTATTCATATTTTCCTTTTACAGATATAATTTTAATTATATTTGAAAATTTACAAAAACACACACACACACACACATATATATATATATATATATATATATATATATGGGATAACAATTTTCATATATCATGAACAATTTTGGTGGGAAGATATGTGACAAAGTGGAAAAAGTTTTCAAGTGATGCATTAATTACATCCTTTAGGACTTCATTAGGCTAAGTTAATGTTTACTTCCATGCGATTACACAAGTGCACAAATGAGAGATGCTGGGAATTTTAAATTTAAAAAAAAAATTTTATTTTGCTTTGTGTATAAAATCTAGCTGATTTCATTTACATTCTTTTTTTTTTTTTTTCCATCACTTAACCCCTCTCAGCCCATCACATATAAAAAATTCAGGCAACCTACTTGAAAAAGAAAACAAATATGACTGACAAACTCATAGCCAGTCTAGATATAAAATCCCTTTACACCAACATCTCAGTTGAAAAATGCTTAAGTCTTTTAAAAAAGCATCTAACACAATCAAAGATAAAGCTCTCCTTACCAATAACTAAAATAATAAAAATCTGCTGTCTCAGCACAAATCAATAATATTTCACATTTAATAATAATTTTTATAAACAAAAATTTGGATTACCAATGGGATTTTCCCTTAGTGGAGTAACAGTATGTATTTTCTTAGAATTTCTCAAATCTGATCTTTTCCAAAATATTTTGCTTAAAGAGTCAGCATACTTCCAATATATTGATGATGCTCTTCCCCATAATACTGATTTATCTGATCTTGTAGATAAATTAAACAAAGTTGAACGTACAATAGAAATCACATATGAAATGTAAAAAACAATACTTTACCTTTCCTAGATATCATACCATATCACATTAACAGTATCTGTAAACTTAGTGTCCACCAAAATTCAACTAATAAAAATGATGTCATAAATTTCTATTCCTATCATCATAAGAAAAATAAAATTCAGAGTAATCATCAAATTCTACTCAAGAGCATTCAGAATTTGCAGGCCTCAATATTTACATGAAGAGGAGAAATACACCGAAAATACTTTCAAGCTCCTCCAATACCCTAACTATTTAATATTCAATGTGATACAAAAGGTTCATAAAATATTTAAAAATAGAAAAGTGGCCTTTCCTGACAAACCCAATGAATCAAAATATAAATTGTTCTACCCACAAACTCTATCACAACTACAACTAAAAAGAATTTATCTAAACTCAACATAAAATTTGTCACAATTACATCTAAAATAATAAAAGACTTAATACAAAACAAGACAATAAGCTGAAACTTGAAGGAGGAATTTACTGCATTACTTGTAATATGTATAGCTGGCCACTCGTATTTGAGGATACCTGTCTACTAGGGCAGTTAACCAATCCCTATTGCAGACGCTTGCTCAGGTGCATTTCTGTTTATTCAACACCCACAGTGCCTGCCTGAGCAGACCTTACACTTTCTGGGAAAGAGCATGTTATCTAGTGTGATCAACAATTTGAACAAAACCCTCAGCCACGATGACTTGTGACTTTGTGCTAGCACATCTATCAATGGCCCCTACCAAGGGTTCCATGTACCTAATTTCACTCATAAGGCTTGGGTCAACTTGTGGTATGGTTTTCAGTCACTTTCCAAAGGTGCCACACACTGGGATCGACCCTTCTAATCCAATAACATCACGAAGTTTCCTTCCTGATAAATAGATCATGGTGAGATTTGAACCTGGGTCTCATGGTCAGAATGCAAATGTTCTAACCACTTGGCCATGTGCCCATATATTACTGGTAATAATTGATGTATGATATAATGGGAGAAACCTCAAGGAATTTAAGTAAAAGATTCTATGAACACAAAAAGGATATTTTATAAAATAACACATTAAATGCATTTGTTGTTCATCATAATGAGACTGACCACAATTTTCATAAAAGAAATGTTACTCTAATTAAAAGACAAAACAAATAACACAAAAATTTTAGAAAGTGCTTTAATTGCCAGTAAATTTGTGTCCAGGTTCTTACAACATTTCACCATTCTTGGCAGCTAACCTTATCCTCAAAAATAACAACACACCAGCTAAGTCAAAATTACAAAGAACGAACATTATCTATGAGTTTAAATGCCCCTTAAGGAACTGTGTTCCTGATCAAACCGGATTCATAAATAATTACATCGGTTACACAACCACATGCTTATCCAGACGTCTTACGTTACACCTATCTAATCACAGCTCCATTAGAACCCATTTAAACACACACACAAATTTACCAGACTCCATTAGAAACATACTAGTAGAAAACACAAATATATTAACTGCATCCACCTGCAAAAAAAGACTAAAAATAATGGAAGCTTTAATAATAAAAAAGAAAAAGCCAACTCTTAACAATATTAACTACGAACAAAGCCACAATGTGCTAACCGTATTTGGAAATGAAAAACATCTCTACCACACACTAATACATACACAGAACGCACACACTCAATTAAGCTGAAAAATCGAATCATCCTTGATAATGGTTAAAGGTATAGCTGAAAGCGCTTGGAAATATAAAACATTTGGACAGTTCTTATACACCCTTTGTCCAGAAAAGAAAACTCTTGTCAGAACACAAGAAAAATTAAATAAAAAACTTAAACGTAGTACCTTGTCTGTTGTTTTTAATGAAATATGCATAAAGGAAGGATTGCTGCCTAAATATACAACTATATATATATATATATATTTATTTGGAAGGAATTGAACATGCATCCCTTGAGGTAGAGAGAGCCACTGTTTAAGCCCTGTGAGCCTTATTGACAGGAGAAATTTCTCTTGAAAGCATGAAATTCACTTTGTCTGTCTTTTTGTGGCCAAGTGGTTATGGCACAGTGGGGACTAAACAATTCAAATGCCAAAGAGTGCAAATTTTTCTTTAATAAGATTTCTCAAACATTCTGGCCAGTAGGTGAAAATAAATATACTGTTTAATAAATAAATGGAGTACCTACTCAAATTCAAGTATCCACTAATAATAATGTTTAGCATGATAAAAAAATATGTTAGATTAATAAAAATCCATTCTAAAAAATTATATAATGATATATAATTTTATATATCAACAAACAGTATTTAGAAAAATAGTGTGCCAAATTAGAAAAAAGTTTTTGATATGTTTCATCCATTAGGATTTCATCAGACTGGGCTTTGTTGGTGTTGTCCCGTCTACAGATGTGCATCAAATGAGAGATGCTGATAGTTTCAAAATATTTGAAAGAATATTTTTTTCCATCTAGCCAAATTCATCTGTATTCTTTTTCTCCCCATCACCTTTGTCCTGACTATCCCACATTGTGACAACAGAAAATCTACCAAGAATGGTAATATATTGTAAGAGCTTGGATGCAAATTTATCATGGCTGAACTAGTGATCAAGGCACTTACCAAATATTTTCGTCCTAGTGGATTATTTTCTCTTTTAATCAAAGTAGAATTCCCTATGTCAAAATTGTTCACTGTAATGAAACTGACCAAATGACAAAAATGTCTGGAAAGTGCCTTGATCACTAGATCAGCCATGATAAATTTGCATCCAGGCTCTTACAAGATATCATCATCTTTATAGTCATTTATTTCCTGTAAATGGTAATTTCCTGTTTATCCCTAAAATGGGTCAACCCAGCCACACAACAATGCTATAATAATGCAACAATGAAAGTATTAAATATTCAGGAAATTTCTTCCCATCCCTTAAGACAGTGAGCATTTTAGGACAAAGCATTTTATTACTGAAAATTATAAAAATCTATAAAAATTCAAGCCACCCCTCTTATTCCAACTATCCCACCTATTTGAAATTTAAGTGTAGATAAATAAAAGATTTTTTTCAAAAACAAAACAAGACACTTTTTGACTCAATCTAATAATTAGTGGTTGATACATACCAGTTGCCGAAATTGGCTGTTGATGCCTTCAGATATTGACTGTATCCATTCTGCTAAAGCCCTTGTGTCTTCACACACCACAACTCCTGAGCTAACCCCATCAACTCCAATCACTTCAAATGCATTTGGCCTGAAAAAAAAGAAAGAAAGAAAGTTCTGAAAAATAAAACATAATATTTTTTCTTTAGTTACTCTGATATTTCTCACAAATACCTTTAGCAAAGGTATGAATCCATCACTTCTCCATCCTGGTTATAGGTTAAGCAGCAAAGCAGACTGGGTTCTCTAGCTTTGCTTGGCAACTAGTCTAGGAAAAGGACAATTCTGAATCCAAAACCCAGCCACCTGAAGCTGTTGATTGGTCATTCTTTATGGCTTATCAACCCTTTTTGTGTTATTCAAAGCTGAAACATATTTCAGATTGTAGGAAGTTGCTTACAGTACTTGGTGTTCCAAAATGGTCTCCAATCTAAATACTGATTGTGAACAAGCTCGATGCCGCTTAACTTTGGTGTTTTCAGTGTGATTTGATTGCAACCTGAAACGGTTTGTAGATAGTTGGACATGCGGGTGCAGATAATATGTCTAAAAAACAATAGATTTAACACTTTAGCACTCAACCCACCCCATAAATATCTGCTCTCAATCTTCAACATGCTGTAACACACTGCCATAATATATGACAACTTAATAATATATGACAACCATTGCAAGGAAGTCATTCAAACTGAAATTTTGACTACAAATTGTGAGATCTTGAGAGTCAATATTTATGGGATGGGTTTGAGCCTGGAGAATGCTATAGGGTGGATGATTTCATTAATGAACAATTATTCAGAATGTTGTCGATATCAAAAGGCATTGGGTCCAAGAAAGGATGGTTAACTCTGATACTAAAATCATTATCTAAAGATGTCAAAATATGAGTACTCAGTTAAAACCTTTTATCAGGCACAATCTATTAATCCTATATCTGTTTGGAATTGACCCAACCATTTAATATCAATGCAAAATAGTCTACCTTGGCCAATGGTACCTCATTTCATGTCAGAATATTTACTTTGGGATGACAAACTTATACCAGCATCCTATTCACTTTTTTAAACAGTCTATAAAATCCTCTTTCAGAATCATCATCAGCTGCTCCATTATGTTCTTAATCTCATCCGCAGTATAAAATCTCTTCACTTTCAATGTGAAAAGTTATATTAGGGAGTCAAATTTGAATGGAAATAGGGAGGTACTGACAGATCTGGAGGATACAATAATTTGTAAAGAGAAAAAAAAACAAAACAGAAAAAAAAAAAAAAAAAAAAAAAAACAGACAAAATGAAAACAAAAAGAGAAAAGAGAAAAAAGTATCTGTATGAGATACAAGAAATGGTCATATGCTCAGTTAATGTGACAGTGAACTTTACTCAATACACAAACTCAATCAATGGCATCTCAGCACTGATTGAGTAACTTCTCTGGAGAGTGTTCACACTTGCGCAGTAAGATCTTCTCTAATTGGCTGCCAAATTACATCAAAGCTGTCCAACAGACTATTAGTAGATTCAAAATAGCTGGATACTTTCTACAGAGACTTTGTATATTTGGCAAATACTTTTAATTCTTGAAACCTAAACCTCCATGGTGCAAATATTGAAATTTCATCTTCTGCCAAGCATAAGAGCTCTTGTAGCTTAAGCATGAGAACAGCTGTCATGGACAAAAAGAGTGTAAGTCTCACCAAGAACATATTCTTTATTTCCAATCTGCTCTATTTTTTTAATATCTGGAGACTAATGGTTGCATTAATTGCAATAAAAAGCAAGTGAAATTAGAATGAGAGATAATAATATGTTGAAATTTAATATATGGCTAACATTTGTTCATCTTATAATAAAATTTAATTTCACTACTACTACTAATGTGAATAAAGAAATAGAAAGGAAGAATAAAGAAATACAAGTCAAAAATGAATAATGGCTGACAATTCTTCATCTAATAATAAAATTCAAGATAACATTACTACTACTAGTGGAAATAAAGGAAGTGAAATTAAGATGAAAGAAATACAAGTCAAAAATTAATAATAGTTGAAAATGGTTCATCTAATAACAAAATTCAGGATAATATTACTAGTACTACTAATGGGAATAAAACAAGTAGAATTAAGAAAAGAATACTCCTCACAACTGCTAATAAATTTTCCAAGTAATATTACAGCCAATATATATATATATATATATATATATATATATATATATATATATAAAAGCAATATTATCTTGAATTTTAATTTCATAAGAAAAAAAACATTTTCTTAATATCTTCACATTGTGAAGATGAAAGATGATTGGTTTAAAATTTAAAAAACAAACTGAAAAATTAAAATATGGTTATTAAAACAACTTGATACAATATATCTATAAATTTATTTCAATATTTCAAAGAGTCATAAACTACTTATCTTCAGTTAAAAAGACACAAGATAAATTCAGGATTGTCTCACGAGACAATTGGTCCATGAATTTGGTGTCATAATAAATATGAGTTCAATCCCAGGACTGGGCAGTACAGAGACAGACTCAGTGGGAAAAGGGCATGCAATAATTGAGCAGAGCTAAATGAAGAATAAGACGTCTCTAGACAGAGAGAGAGAGTGAAACAAGAACAATCTAGCCCTGTAGGGTAAATAAAGGATTCAGTTCAAAATGTTCTGAATTGATAGCCATTTGCAGAAGGCTGGAGAGTACAATGGCTGAAACATTGTGATAATAACAACAAAGATGGGGATATTAGTCTGAATGCAATTAATGTAAATGATGATAACTCCTCATCTCAAAAATTCAGACAGAAGGAGCTCAGTTGATAATAACAGCAAAGATGAGGACATTATTCTGAATGTAAATGATGATAACTCCTCATCCCAGAAATTCAAACAGAAGGCGATCAGATGATAACAACAAAAAAAGATGAGGATATTAGCCTGAATGTAAATAATATAAATAAAATAAATAAATAATTCCTCATCCCAGAAAATCAGATAAAAATAAACTTGTTCAAGTGAAAATATTAATCAGAACTGTCAAAATCTTTTCCAGGTTTTTGTAACATAGATTTTGAAAAGAAATTAAATATTTTATTAATCTTATAAGAAATGCTTATAAAATATCTTAAAGTAATTACATATTTAGGATTTTAACATCTGCAAAATTACCAATTTCAATTATACATATTGGCCTCCCCTTCAAAACTTATATGAAACTAAAAGTAATTTGTGAAATATATTTCATTAGTGAAAATAAAAAAAATTAAATGTCACAAATTTTTAAGATATTGAGGAGAAAAGCTCTCAAATTAATAAAAAATATTTTATTTACTGGAATGAATAAATATATTTTTACACTTAGTTTGCCAAGAATATTTCTTAGTAGACTGCATTCTCTATCATTAAATAAACTTCACATATATAGAAAAATAAATTCCATCATTAGTATGTGTCATGTAACTGACAATAACAATGAGGGTCAGTTGAAAAATTCATAGGCTGACCAAGATATTCTCATGGAATGTAACCAAATAAAGTTTATTTTTAAACATAGTCCTCCTTGCAATCTACACACTTCTTCCATTGATGTTGCAGAGCTTGGATTGCATTGGTGAAGAAGCTTTGATCCTGTTGGTCAAAAGAGTCATCAATAGCAGATATGACCTCATCATCACTGAAATACTGGTTACCAGCCAAGTGTTTTTCATGTTGGGAGACAGATGATAGTCAGATGGAACAAAATTAGGAGAATAGGGAGGGTGATCAACCAGTTCAAAGTCACAGTCATACACAGTAGCAACTGAAATCAAGGACTTGTGAGCTGGAGCATTGTCCTGATGAAACAAGACCACTTTCATCAGTTTTCCTGGGAATTTAGTCATGATAGCCTTTCGTAACTTCACCAGCAACTTGGCATGGTACTCTCCATTGATTGTGTGGCCCTTTTGAAGATAGTCAATAAACGCAATGCCTTTTGCATCCCAAAAGATTGAGACCATGACCTTCCTTGAAGATGAAAAAAGCTTGGTCTTCTTTGGATCAGGTGAGAAGTGGTGTTTCTACTGCATGGATTTTTTTGTCTCTGGCTCAAAATGGTGAACCCAAGACTTATCCCAGGGTAAGAAACATTCAAGTAAACCAGCTGAATCTGCTTCAAACAATGTCAGATATTCTGATGATGCCATCAGCCTGGTGTATTTTTAATCAGATGTCAGAAGACGTATCTACCAAACAGAAACCTTCCTCATGCCAAGTTCATTCTGCAGAATATTCTCAACTCTCACACAGGATATGCTAATAGCATTGGTTATCTGATTTATAATCATTCCCCTATCATCCATCACCATGTGGTGAACACAATAAATGTTTTCCTCAGTGATAGTAGTTGTAGGATGCCCAGATGTTGGGTCATCTTCAAGACTCTCTCTTCTCATAAATTCAGCTGCATATTTTTGCACTGTTGATAAAGTTGTAGCATTATCCCCTAATGTAGAAACTATATCAGCATGAATGTCCTTGGGGGTTAAACCCTTTTTCTGCAGGTAACACCACGGTGCCAAATTTTGTCCATTTTCAAGTTACTTCTGAAGTCTTCTTTCAGTCAGATGTCAGTTTTCCGGTAAAAAAACAATGCAGGTTTAATAAGAAGAGTTGAAATTAATGCATGTAAGATTTCACAGCTCAAGCTTCACACTTCATAATCAGCCTATGAACTTTACAGCATCCCCTTGTACAGTAGCTACATAGGAGTATAATCATGTTAACTAAAAATGATGGCAATATTTAAGTAATTCAGAATCCTTCTTGCACATTTATAAATCTACCATTCTTCTGTGCATTGAATATTGCTGCCATATCTGGTCTGTTGCTGCTGAGATTTTCAACAAAATCCAAAGAAGGATTTGCAATGTTATCATTTTGACTTCAGTCACTGTGATGTTGACTCCCTCTGTCTTTTCTATAAATATTTTGATGGCAGTTGTTCTGAGCTCTCCTCCTTGGTATCTCAACTGCATGAATTTAAGCATACTACTAGATTGGCTATTAGGTCCCACTGTTTTACTGTTGAAACCATAAGTTCTATTCTAATAGTT